TTTTTGTTCCCTGTGGTTTGGGCTTTGATTCTGTTGTGTGGAGATTATTGATCTCATCACTACTCAATTGCTAAACACTAAAATTTATGGATTTTGTAAATACAATACCTGCTTGCTCAGCTTGAAGTATCCCATTGAGTAAAGCGGCACATCGGTCGAGTCCCTTATGTATTGTTGTCACCTGGATGCAATTTGCAACGTGACAAAAATCATTATACTGATTCTCAGTTCTGTTCAGTTTATGTATACACTACTTGTATGTGGCTTCTTTACCTTATCTTCAGAGTCTGTAGAATAAAGAGAATATGCTGGTTCAAGAGGAGGAACACATCTCCCAGCAACCCTAAACCAGACACCATTTCTGTATGTCAAATGTATGTTTCAAATATTTAAAGGCGTCTAAATTCATGCAATATAGACAGGATTTCTGTTATCCAGTTTGTTCTTTTCTTGTGTATCTGTCCACGTCCAGAGCCTGTCAGCCTGCCTGAGATCACCTGCAAAACATAATTTGCTTAGTGATAAAACAAAACAACGTACAATAACTTATATAATATATAATAACAAAACATATATAATAGCTTACAACCACTACCTTTGGTCTTGATACTCCCTGTCTTGCCATCTTTGATTAGATCTGCAAAATTCACCTACCAAGTAGCAAATATTTATCCATCATGCTCGTATAGGTCTAATAATGATTTGCCATTGCTTATTGTATTTATCACGTGAATTAACTTCAAAAAACGTAAAGACCAACTGTCAAATCAAACTGCACTCATCTAAAAACTAAGGGATGAAAAGCAAAAACAAACCGCTGCTATTACAATCACCACCAAGTAGTTCAGTTTGGGTTCAAAACGGAAGCTGAGTGCCGTGGACCAATAGAAAAACAGTCAGCGTTAATCTGGAGATTTCATTGGTGGGTTACGGTAAACTATTTTCAAACGTTTCATCGATTGGTGTCAGATTATGTCAATCATTCGAGCACTAGCCACTCAGACTCCTCAGGCTTGGCTAACGCCCATTACGGCTTCAGACGCCAAAAA